TTACGAACAAGGAACATATTTTTTTTCCATTTTTGATGAAACAGGGATCCAAAAGTGAGCTTGAAGTTTGAACTCATGTATTGGTGTATAATTGAAGATGATCATGCGGCGCCAGCAAAGCATCTGCATATTTCTCAAATTTTTAAAAACGTGGAATTTGCAGTAATCAAGAGCATTAAAAACTACGAGGTGGCGTGATTGACAACGTTGTCTTTTTAATAGAAAGAAATCCCTTCTCATTCATTCATTTCATCATCATGTCTCGAAAATTATAGGACATACCTCGAAAGCACCTTGATATGTCGTTGCAGACAAGGAAACAAGACACAGGAAGGACAGAAAACAAGGGACAGGCTGAAGGGAATCAGAGTACAGTACAATACACCAATTAAAAACAAGGTCCTATACTGTTTTTGACGACACTCTTTGCGTTCCTGACGGGTGACTGAATGAAACGCATTCTTAGCTGGTTTAATATACACTCAATGCCATTCCTTCTCCATATTTAGCTAAATTGCTTATGCAACATTTTATCTTGGGACTAATTTTGCACTCCGCATCCTGGAACACTTCACATAAGTTCGATTCAATTAATCCTGATCGGTATCGTCTGTATGAAATAAATTTGGAAAATATAATGATGCAGTGAATGTAAACGGAAAACCTAGCTTCTGAGTATGTCGATGCTTATGATTTTACGAAAGCTTAGTTGAAATTTTCCGGTTTTTTTCCTGGCGATATATGGAAATATTATTCCCTCTTCGGCATTTCCAGCACATCATGCGACATCTGTTCCGTTTCAAACGAATCATTTCGAACGAAAGGAAGAGTAAATATTTTTCATCATTTTGAAAAATATCATGACTGGATCACAATTTTAATTCAATTTAAGGAAATCAAATTCTTGAATCTTTTCAAGATTTCCATGATGAGACGTGACTGCTTTTCTGTGTATCGTTAATTAGATGCAGATCGGATATTTTCGTAGATTGTTTTTATGGACGCGGCAGCAGCAGCACTCTTTTGCAAGCCTCGTATTTTTCTGGGTAGTTCCGGGAATGACCAATAGTCTCTCCAGTGTCCCAACAGCAAAAAATTGAAAATATTCGTGCAAGTAGCAATTTTCAAAAAAAAAGCAGACCTTTCTTGAATTATCTTTTCAAATTCGTCGATCCCCATCACTCTTCCGGTTTCATTCGGATGATATCCCTCTCTCGTGGCCGGACAGAACTACGTACTATGAATACTTTCGATGCACACTTAGTGAAAGGAAAGTATTTGTTGGCAATGCTGATGCGAACGTTCGAAGTAACGTCACCGAGTTGCGAAAGCAGTCCAGGCAACTGGGCATGTGGAGGAAGAGGCCTTCTTGCTCAACTGTTCCTCGCCGCCACCGCCGCCGCCGAAGGGAAAGGGCCGCCACGCAAAGGGAAGGCCATTTCTCAACGGATGGCGGTCGGCGCTCCACAGGGAAAGGAAACAAATACCCGGTCCTCTGGCTGCCATCTTCTGAGAAACTATCCGGGTATTGAAAGTAGAAATATGGTCTTGCGCTTGGAGGGAAACACGAGAAAGGACCGAATCCTTCTCAGGAAAAAGGAAAAAAATAAACCTTTCCAGGACAGAGAGCAGATGATGTCGATACACTTGAAAGGATTCTCGTCACCGCCCGGCGTGGTTTTGATAACGCTAAAGATTGGTATCACTTTGGAATTATGATAAATTGTTTTTTTCTAAACAGAAGTTCAAAACCAAGCCAGTCAGAGAAGAGGATCATGACATCAATTCAGGGAATATCTCCCGCCTCCATTTAAATTTTCATTTTCAAACCGTGAAACCAGATCATGGGCAATTAAAGGAAATTCAGAAAGATCGCTTAATGATAGGCATCACGAAGTAAATTAAGTTAGCAATCGATCGACATTTAATAATTAACAAATGAAGCGCAAATCTTTTCTGTCCAGCTTATTTGGCGACTTCCTGTTCGTTAAAATCAACATCAAAAGATCAAAATTATTATACTTGCTGATTGAAAAAAGCAGAAAAATAATTTTTACCAAGAAAAGAAACTTCAAAATTGCATCCCTCTGTGCTGTGAAAGCGGGAACTTCGAAAAATAATTATCTACTTCCGTTTAGTCGATCTCTCGGAAAACAACCGATTTTTGAATGCTCTAAAATTTAAAAAAAATAGCTTTTGATAAAAGGAACGCCGAAAAACTTATTTTTCGATGGTCTCCTTGTATATTTTCAAGTATCGTCTGTAGAAAACCCCCGTTAATGAACAAGTCTCAGCATTATTTTCAAATACTGCTTTAAATTTAAGCACTGATCGAAATTCGTCTTAGTCCATCTCTGATTTTACCTGATGAATTTATCCCGGCTGTCATATTTTGGGGAACACCACATATCAGCATCCAAATTTTCTGTCAATACTGTATAAGACGAACTCTATTTTAGCGTCTTAAAAAATGCCCGAAGGAAAATTCAAGACTTATCTTTCTTAAATAAATTGTTTTCGAACTCAAATAAATTTACGGATGTTTTTAGTCATCGCTCAGCTCAATGACTTCAGTCCCGACATGCAGATTATTCGACTGCTGAGGAGCAATTTTAGCTGTTCTGTTATAGGTCGGCTTAAAATATCTCATGATTTGGACACCGAAATTTCTAGAATGAAGTATAATTTTTAGAAATTTTCATATCTTTAACAATGACTCGTAAAACATATCAAAGAATCTAATAATATTTTCCAAACAACCAGAATTTGGGCTTTTCATTTCATGAATTGTCCGAACAACTGTGTGCGGTATAAAAATATGCGTGAACGCTTCTTTTTTTTGGGTCTTTCGATTAGTTTTCATAGAAAAAGGGCGGATTTATGCGTGGTTTTCTTCTCCGGAGTAATTTCTGAAAAAAATTTAAGAACAATTTGTAATTAAACCTGTATTTGAGAGGGCTTCTTCCAATTTTTCCAAACATGAGAAGTGAATAAGGATTTTCCCTATGAAAAAAAAAATGTGATCAATATGCAGACATTTCTGACACTCGTCTGAGAAGTAATTATTCTACGACATCTACACCTTGGCAGCCCCACCATACAGAGTAAGACTTGCAAAAGGACAAAAGAGAGTTTATGGTCAAACTGGTTGGTTCACGGCGTGACTCGGGATATGTTGCAAAAGAGAACCAGCTTTATTCGGCAACCAGACTGGTGTGGGTTGTTGGCAGGGGGGGACCGGCCTGGACCGTGGTGCTGGTCATCATCCCTGTGCCTGTCACGTATACGCCCTTGCGCAACCCGGCGCCGCATTCCGCCCGCACCGGGCGACTGCGTCATCGTTTCGGCCTTTTCCTTTTCTCTTTTCTTCCTTTTTCTCCCTTTCTTACTACTACTACTACTACTGCTGCTGCTGTTGGTGCTGGTAGGAAATGAGCACAGGCCTGTTACTGAGGAAGGTAATTCCGCCATATGGCGACATTGGGGAACCATCAGATCCGAACGCGACTCGACGATCCACGACTGGACAAATACGTTCCCTGTATCTCTCTGCTGGATCCTTGTATTATACAGTATACATATAGTATGTATAGCTGTTTTCTTCTTTGATCGACGCAGCCTTTATTTGTTGCTGCGGATATGGTCGCATTTAATCGGAGAATGACGCTTCATTTGCTGGACTTGGGATGAACTACTGTACGGTACAATGTTTGCCGAATTTTAATCGTGTTATTCTCTTTTGGAGACATCCAAAGCGACAATGACCTGAACTATCTCGAATATGTTTTTCTCTGTTCATCCTCTGCAAGTACTGTATATCGACTTCAAAATGTTTACCTTCAGAAGAATTCGGCGCATAAAAAATGTGGGCGCTTATTTTATGTTATGGCGCCATATACCGTAAATCCTTTTGATTTTAAAGCATGTATCAATGATTTTGCCATACACAATTTTTGAATGAAAATCGAATGGATTTAACAAATTATTTTCATCAGTTTCTGTTCGAAAGGACAAATTTAAGAATTGAGATTTATTTTCAAGAGTTGAATGAGGATGGAGCTGATGATTCAAGCATCAGAGTAGAATAATCATATACAGTACATCAGAGTATATGATTCGGCTAATGCTGCAATGCAGCACCGAGGACAGGAGCCATTGATGCATTTGTATTTATTGCTGGTGATGGAGTAACTTTTTCCTTGGGATATTAAATAATAAGGTAGAAATTATAACGGTCGACATAAATTAGTATATTATCCACTTTTTATGCGTAAAAAATCGCCAGTGCTTGATTGTATTGTTGTCTTTTATCAATAGGGCATCACTTCGAATACGAATTTTATGGAATTCATTTTCTGTGAAAACCATCGACGCTGATGTGAAACATTCTATCCCTTATCGATGAAAAATAAAGGACTATATTGTATTCGCAAATTTTTAAATTTTGGAGTGAAAAAACCGTCTGAACTGCTGTACTGTATTTCACTACTGTACATTCGATTTTCAGGAAAAACTGCATGTGTTCTCGTAACCGACAACGGTGGCAGCAACTATATGGATAATATAGCGCTTCACCGAAGTCGCGCTTTTTGTAAATCGTGCGACATCTAGGTCCAATCTAAAATAACTTTGAAATGGCTTATGACCTATTCGTTGTTGAGGGACACATTCCTAGCGTTCAAAGAGGCAAGCAAGCACATTCAATTCGCAATGGACGAGAGGTCAAACAAAATATCCCAGTGCACAGAACGGTAGTTCTTTAAGTACAAAAACATGGACTGATTGTACGGTTGAGCTGGAGGAAACAGTTCGGCCATAGTCAGTGAACACAACACAGGATTTAACAATGCTGTAGCAAGAATAAATTCGGCGAGTACTTGTGATACCTCGATTCTTTTGAAACTTCACTTCATGTCGGTCAATCGCTTCTGAAAACACTTTTTTCGCCGAAGTTTTCAGAATGATTAAATTTTTAACGGAATGATCTCTTGTAGGTCACATATAATGGGTCTCACAGACTGACACAAATATTCTTTATAACAAGCTTGAGATCAGCGAACTAGAGCACAGAAAATGAAATCATCTTGAAGAATGATAGAAAAATTAATAACTCAATCCCTTCATGACTCGTCGTTCATTTTGCTCGTATCTCTGCAGAAGTTGTTTCAGCCTTGATGCCAAAACGATGGAATGCTTCACCTTGGCTTCTATGGTCATCATCCGTCTGGAAGAATCAATTTTATTGAAGTTTTCAACCCAGCAATCTAGTGAATAGCAAAAAAAAAAATTAAATCCTTACTTCGGATTGAGGTCTCTATCGTTCATGAACTCGGAAATGAAAACGTTGTCCGGATATTCAGCGAAGTACCTCACGACATCCGGGATGTACTTCAGGTTCAGGATTGAGTCCGTCAGCATTTTTGTCTGAGGATATTTTATAAAGTTAATTATTGCCCAGAAAATTCGAGGAAATATCATATATACAGTGAATAGCTTTGATTGAATTAAGACACATGAGAGGATTTTTTCTTCGCTGCCGGTTATGAACAGCAAAATAGGGAAAAAATAAAAGCTTTTTTGCTTTGCTCCTTGACCTTCTGGACATTACAGCCAAGATGGCAATGCGGATTATTGGTCAACTCGATTTGAATACAGCTAATCAAAAATACGATTTGTAAAAATAAAAGAAACATTTCGAAGTTTCAAACAAGCCCATACCGTGGTGTACATTTTGTGATAGTCCTGCTTCGCCTCGCCAATTCGCGTTTCCGCTTCTTCCAAATCCGAAGCTAACTTTTCCAATTCGGCATAACATTCCTGTACTTCTGCCGGTAAGCATCTTAACTTGTTCAGCGCTAGTTCGTGATTCACCATGTTCTGCTTGATTCGATCAATTTCTCCCCTGAGCCTGGCCAAGTCTTTATTTGCTTCCTCTTTTATACAAATCAAGTCATTGAGTTGAATCTCCATCTGGAACATTACAAGATATTATTAGATTAACTGATCGAAAGTTGGGACATTCGAATTTCTAAAGCAATCTCCCGTATGTGAGGCCGAGGTTATTCTTGCGCCAGCAAAAATTTACTATTACTATTTATTTTACTAGCGGTTAAAAATCTTGAAAATCAACAATCTTGAAATTTCAATCTCGTTCGTTTTGAATAAAAGGGTTACAGCAATAAAACATTTTGATGACGCTGTTTAAGTAACGACTTACTAATTCATTGACATATGCTTGAGTTCTTGGCGAGAAAATGTGCACATGAAAATTAGTAAATTGGACAATTTGAAGATATTTTAGATCTTAACAGAGCGTGACTCATTTTTATCTTGACTCATTTTTATCTATCAAATGATACTGATTTAATACACTGGATCAAGCGCTTCGATTTATGCGACAACAATCAATTCTTTTTACAATCGAAGTCCTGAGAATTTAGAATAATTGCATGATAAATTGATCATTCATTTAATCTGGAATCCTCAGGAAAGTTGTATTCTCATCACGTTAATCTGAAATTTGAATTAATGTTCCAAATATCATGTCTGGTCATTGTGGAACAATATTTTAAATTCTTGAGAATTTTAAACGTGAAAGAAGTAATAAACTAACCGCGAGTTCGAACATGATAGAAAATCTATCACGTTCGTTTCTGAAAAAAAAAAATCAAGTTATGTTTTATTGATGTTTTACATTTATTTTATCTTACCCGTGGTTTTTCTTCATTCCAAGTTCCGAGATCTGCCTTCAATCGTACGAGCTCTTGACGCTTTCGTTCCACAGTTGGCAAAATTCGGTCTCTTTCTTGCTCCAACAATGGGATTTCATCCAACAGGCAGTTGTAACGATGCTTGAAAAGTTCAGTTATATCAACAGTATATGTTAAAGATCTAATTCCGAGTAAATAAACAAAAGAGCAACTTACCACGATGTCGTTTACAGTCGACCTCGCTTTATTCTTCATGAACAAATTCTCTGCCACGTCAGAACCCATGACGACTTTGTTGATGTCCAAGGCAATTTTGTCGTAGCAAATATCTCTGGGAAATTTGAATATTTACTTCAGTCACCATTTACAAGGATATAACTATTTTATTTTATTTAAACACCTGTTCTCAGATCCATAAGGAATGTCCTTCGGTGCTGGACATCTGTTACAATCATCTGCAGCTGCCTTCTCCTCTTTGTTCAGACATGGTGGACGAGCTTTGGATTTAAAAATAGTACGGAACAAAAGCTTTGTGTTAAACTTTCCATGTTTATCTATATAATTACGATCTGTCTGCACTTTATCTAAAAAATGACTGTATAGAAGTAAGAGAACGGATGCTTTTTTTTGTTCCAGACTTGAGGATGAAAATTGTATTAACCCATGAAGTTTTTTTGAAGAAATTTTTTAGATTTTTTTTCAATACATATTCGGAAGTTCGTAGATGCCTTAAAATTGTACGTACTACAAATGCTGTATATCCTTCGGGCTTTTTTTATGTTGCTTTATGTTTTGTGTGGGCATGAATAAACTTCAGTGAACTTCAATAAAAACATTCTCTTATTTATTTTAATCGTATTACTGCTACTTGAAATATTCTGTAGTATCTCAATATTTATGTGAACATGATTAACCGACAAAGAATGTGACACTTGAACAGCAATTAACCGTAAAATTGAACATTTGGCAGCTGTTGATCCTCGAATTGTTTTCTCAAAACCTCTGAGATGAAATCTTGAATGATCCACCCATTTTTTAAGCATTATTTCTTCGTGTTTCGCATATTTCGCGGGTTACTATAGGGTTTTAAAGCGGGAAACCATTTTAAAATGGAAGGAACTTTGAAATTTGAATAGAAGAAATAATTTGACCATGAAATGTGCTGCGTTAAGTTGTTCCTAAAATGACCACATGTATGATTTTCAATTATCCTCATCGCTCTGCTGAAGACTCGTTCAGTAGTAGTTTTAAGCTTATGAAAGTTATTCCGTCTTTTTTTTCCAACAATCTGGAGCATCTTTGGACATATTGATGCATGTGTGTGAAAACTGTGATGCGTGAGCACCATTGGCCAGCCATTGTCGAGCTCCAGCTTTTGCCTCAGAAATAGTCATGACACCTCGACCGACGGCATCTTCCAAAGTATTTAGTTTCTCTCTTCGCATTTTTCCAGCGATGGGACCAGTGATTTGTTTTTGTGCCAAACGATCTGACAGCATGTCGAACAACTGTAAAAAAAAATAGAAGTTACATGACCCAAAGAGTGGACCAGCAAGTTGGGAACTGCAATTGAATTGGAAGTTTTAATAGAATCAATACTCCAGAAGTCCTCATGAGGCGTACGATGCATTGAAGTTGAATATGACGCACTGATTAATCGACTATACACAGTACTTGGAGTGACTTCTTTCAGAAGCATGGGATGTCTCACGAGGAATGACGATTTGATCATCAGTCTGCTCCGACTTTTCGAAAATTTGATTACAGTACAATACATCGTATTATGAATATAATATTTCAAGTTTTATTCGGCCAGGTGAATAACTAGACTTTTCTGTACATCAGACGGGCATAAATAGAAGGAGAAAGGAAAATATTTCCTCTTCGGGGTTGGCCAGTTATTATTTTTCTTTGTGTTACAATTTATTTTGGTATGTGCTTGACGTGCATAGTCACCAGTCACCATGGATCAAAATTCTGGTGAATGCTAAAAATTTTTTTAAGGCAATGGACGACTGTGAATCTGCATATCTATGTTTTGACTTTTTTCGCATTTAACACTTGATTGGAAACGACAGATTTTTTTTTATTGTCTTTCAATAATGTAAAATTACCACTTTACCAGATCTTTTTCGCATTTTGTGAGCTGTCGACCAGTTGACCCTAGATCTACGCCACATGGCGGTCCTTTTGGGAGAGCACGTAGTTCCTTGTCTTCACATTTGCTTTTGGCAGTTGTTGAAATCGAATCTTGCACTGCCACATCAAACGCATCCGCCACTGAAATAAATATGCCGAAAACAACGCGACAAGAGTGAGGAATTTTTTTCTCTTCTGGAACACCATCCCTTGAAGAGTGTTCGTCGTATTGACTTCAATAAAATGCTTTAGATGTGTAGAGGAAAATATTGAATTTTTCATGGTATGCTAGATTTATAGCCTTATAGAGCAACTGATAATGATACGGTATATTGTAGCTGAACTGCAGAGTTTCGTGCTGTTTCCTGCTACGCATCAACGTCGGTTTCATTGAGTAGCGACATCTATGAGAGACTAAAGCATCTACCCGTTGTAGTTTTATTGCAATTACTAGACTGTCGACTTCCAAACTATCTTCGTCAACTGGATCAGACCTAGATAAATTGAATAATACATAAAAATAATAACTAGACAACTCTGAAGCTTGAAACTTTTTATGTTCCCCCTTTGCGTGAGTGAAATATCTCTGTACCCTAGAGGTAACTAAACCTTTGATTTTTGAACGATGCTAAAATTGATCAACAGTTTCAACAGTTATACATCCAAGTACAGTAAAGGAGTGATCATCATAGAAGCTACTTCTGAAAATATTTTCTAGTATTTATTTAATAAATGCACCATAGAAAATGGGTCGATATGCCCCAAATCCCGATTTCTTGGGACCTTGTGATAACTGTTCAGAAACTTTCTGCTTTTGGTTTTTGTCCACGTACCTATCCCCATCCGAATTGAAAAAGTTCTGATCCTATTTTTAAAGTGATGTATCTGCTATTGTGAATACATTACCGTAAAGTTTGCAGTTACCTTTGATTCATGCAAAAGTGTAAAAAAATATTTTTAACCAGTTTCAAAATATCAACAGGAGAGGAAAAGTTGTTACTCTTCCAAGGTACGTTTGAAATAACAACCCCGCATATTGTTTCATCAGTCACGGTTTAAAAATTTTTCTTTTTCCTCGTGCATCCCACAGATGAATATATTTTCAATTATTCATCGTTTCTTATCAGAGTTTCAATCTAAACGAATCTCTGAACTAGCAAATCACGAGTAATTTTCTACGCACACGCGACGATTAGCACTTCAAAAGTTTCAAAACGATTTTGTCAAAGGTACACTTTGCTCCAACCTTCTCTCTCGGAAGCTGGATGAGAATCCATGACGTTCTTTTTGGTTAAAACGTCATCAGAAAATTCTCAACCAGCTTTACGATGGTCTCGCCAAAGATTGATGAAAAGCTCTAGAAAGAAAAGCAGTGAGATGAAAAACCAGATCTGGAAAAGCTTTTCCGAGTTCAGCACCCGTCCTGTACGTTCTTCAGAAGAGTAAATGATGATAAACAGTGTATATAGATTAATTTGTATATATAAAACGCTATGTGATGCATTCCGACAGCGAAGACGGCGTCAACCTTCAGAGTTTCATCGTTGATGATTCAGAGTCTCAAATTCTGAAGCTGAGACAGTATACTGTACATAGCGAAGACATCGTAATCATTTGGTCCGTGCTGATGGAAGCCGGATAATGAAGTGTATCAATTATTCAAAGCGAACTGTCGTTCTAAACCCACGTATCCTTTCTATATCCCTTGTATCAAGCCCGAACACAATTCTGGTCCATCTTCCTGATGACAGTTTGCACCCGAGGAAGCACTCATTGAATCGGAACGAAACTTCTTAAAGAAAACCGAAGACTATATATAGATACGAGCCCAAACTTGGCTAGGTGCCGAGACGAATTGCTTACGAATCATTTCCTTGTTTCAGTCGTCAAGCTGGCCCTGTGTATATTGCCGAGGTCTACACAGGAAACTTTTCTCGGGCCACGTGATAATCTTGAGAAAGTCACGAACAAGGTGAAGGATGACCCAGGAAAAGGCTGGAAACTTTATATAGAAATTTATCTGCGGTTAACAAGAAAGGCGACGTGTCTGATTTTCACGCATACTTCAGGAAAAAAAATCATCGAGTTATTTTAAGGTAAGAACAGCATCAAAGTACCGCATTCACTCGATTAACACACGCTCTACGGTTCTTCAGTAAATTTTAAAAATAAAATTCGAGTATAAGATGCACACCTTATTTTTAGTGACTCTAAAAATTTCAAGTTTTCAAAAATAATAACACCTAAAAACGGATTTAGGCATGATATGAACCTGAATTCAAGTAATTTTCAAGGATTTCGATTTATTTTACTGAAGTTTTTCTCTTGGAATTAGTCCAAACTTTTTCATTAGAAATAAATATAATGTTCACCTAAACTTTAAAAAAACTTTTAAAAATGTTTTCCCGCCTATGAAGCGCTTCTTATTTTTCTCCCTCAATTTTGAGAAAATCGGTGACGAGCTACTCGATTAAATATGCACAGTACCTGTCATATAACGACCTCTCTTGAAATATTTAAGAAACTGATTTTAAGATTCCTTTCTCAGATATCTCGATAGATTATTTTGATGCCGAATTTGACAACTTTACAGTGCCGTTTTCGAATCTACAACCTCCTTCGCAAGAAATGGAGAATATATAATGTATATTCAAGATGGATATATAAATTAAAAGCAAATATTCGAAAAAGTTCCTTTTTGCAAAAATGTGTTGCATTCAGACTTCGTATACAGAAGGACCGTTAGAGATCACGGACAGTTCAAACTCTCGGTTATTACATGAAATTCGAAAAAAAAATCCTTTGTGATCCCCGCGATTCAAATATTTGATTGCATTGATTTTAGAATGCAATTTTCCCTTTTTGGGGGGGGGGGGGAATTTCCGGGTCAGCTCGCGACTGGGAATAAAATTCGAATTCGCTTCTTTGTTCGAAAAATTGCTCATAGTCCTCTCGGCAATTAAACCGATGGTGTCCTCCGAAATTTATATCTTAAGACGAGTCTTTACGCGGGTCTTTGCATAATAAAGCGTGAGGATGGCACTCGATTAACTTGGAGAATTATTCATGATTTTGCGCCAGCAGCAGCAGACATCAGACCCATCCCTGCTGTTTGAATCATGGACCATAGTGCATGCATGCATCTTTCTCGATGCCCATTTCTATTCCTCACATATAATTGTTACATTTTTTTGCACTGAGGAATCCATTTATGTATGAACCACCGGCTGTTCTGTTTTAATGAAAGATGTCATGGATGCTTGAATTCGTTAGGCCTGCAAATAAAACTGTACATTTGGCTCTGAGAACGGAAGAATGCCTCAGTTCTCCCAATTAAATGATTATTTCCCGGAATATTTTACTTTAAATGAGTCAATATGTGCGTAACTTCGCATGATAAAGTTAGTGAACAGCTGTGGATTACATTTCAGCATACACGCGCGTGTTGGGCGAATTTCTTTCATTTTTAGAAAATGTTTTTCGGATAACTCAGTGGGGATCTTCAGTCAAAATACTGTATTCAATAAAAACACGACCTTAAATCACGAATACGCTCTCCTCACGAAGAACACGTAATTCGTCAATCCTGTGATTCAAAATTTGTCATTTTCCCTTATTTGGTTTTTATCGAGAAGATATAATTTAATCGACTTTTACGTTTTTTCAACGCTACATATTACGCAAAAAATTCAGGAGATACTGCAGTTCATCAGCTTTTTAAAGTTCTACTCGGTATAATTCCACCATAGATCTGTACTTCAACGCCGATTATGGAGTATTTTAGTGCAAGATAATTTCGAGAAAGGCCATTCAACTTTAATTGCTGACAATATGTCGTTTTATCGGTATTTGACTGATGCGAAAATTCAATAAAATTCAGGGCTTGCATTTTAGCACTTATAAGTTATCAATTTCGCCGATCAGTTCGATCACTCTGATGAAGATGATGATTATTCAGAATAATTTGCATATTATCGCGTATTATTTCCGATTCTAGCCATGCGATACTTTAGAACAATGTTCCCCTACTCGTGGTCCGCGGACCGGCGCGGGTCCGCATTCATTTTTTTTTGCCGGTCCACAGGAAATTTTCTAAATGTATGAAAAGCAGCGATGAAGTCTGTTACCTTCAAACAAAAATTTCTGAACGACAATTGCAGTTATATTGAAATTATCTGATGAAAATAAAAGTTGGCTTCTTTACCTATTAACACATCAAACAAATTTTCACCTCCAGAAATTTTCTTTTCATTTTTTAATTCTAAGAAACCTTTCTTCCAGCCTACCTTTATTTAATTTTTTATGGCGTACAGCTATAGCTGCTTCATTGGTACTCAACTCAATTGCAAAAAAGCAAAAACGTTTGTTACCTGCCATGAAGTCTTTCAAGCGAAACTTTTGTGTGTCTGCAGAAATTTCAAAAAAACGTAGCCGGTTCATAGAATGTGTTTCAAATCTGTCGGTACGCGAAAAACGCAATGCAAATTAACCGGTTCGTGGGCCCAAAAAGGTTGAGTAACACTGCTTTAGAATATTAGAGATTGAAAGGAAATTTTCGGAATGGCTCATTTAACTTTTATTGCATTCAAGTCGCATGGATTTAAATGAGGGGGAAATGTGCAGGTTTTGCTTGTGCATATACTGTACAGTATTGCATTTCTCCCACGATCTTTCGAGAATCTGTGTCGATATGTAGAGTTTTCCGTCTGAAAGGTCTGCTAAAAATGCTAGTGTGGTCGTATTCGCGCGAAAATGAGAAACAGTGCACAATATTCATCGTTTCGCATCAAAAACAATTGCCCAGCAGAACGTCCTCCGGACCAAAAATTTCCTGCTCGAATCATACCGACGCAGCAGTGTTGGTGCATGTACTATGCATCCTCGTACTTATGCAATGCCAAACCGCACTCTACTCCCACAGCACATTTGGTCGCTCGCCTTTTGCTCGCATCATGGTTATATGTACAGTAAATGACACAGCTTTTACGCATCAACCACCAGCTGCTCTGTTCTAATAAAGACGCGGTCGATGCTGAGGAATCCGGGAAGTGGTAATAATGTGCTACGCGCTGTTTGCCTCGTGTGGTCCTTGATTTCGCCTCCGTGGAACGGAAACGGGGAGCTGAAGCTGGCTGCACACAATGAGCCCGGGCTGCCGCTGGTTTTTCTTGTATGATGCGGCACCGGGTTTCTTGTGCTGAGTGATGCCCCCCCCCCAACTTTGCACCACCCAACTGAAAGCATTTGGCAACTTGCCTCTATAACCCTTCTGCGGCAAATTCGGACTTTTTTCGACTCAACCGATGGAATCTCAACCTCTCAAGCTATGGAAACAAAGTTGCAATATTTATATAGGCAGGCACAATTCAGTTTGACCAAAGGTCACCAAAATGCCCCCCAGGCTTTGAAGACCAAAGTCAGGAAAAATCCAGATGGATTAACCCTTGTGCAGCAAAGTCTGGATTTTTTGGAAAATGTTGTGCTAATGAGCATTACAAATTTAAAAATTTGATTTTTGCACCAAAGCCTATAAATCAGAAAAAAGTCCAACATTTTTTTTTATCCTGCAGACAAATTTACTTCGAAAATAAAATAAAAATTCCTTACTGGGTGGCTTTTTTCAGGAATTATTTGCATAGGATTAGCATTAAAGATTTTGGAGCACAAAAGGATTAATTTTTCCAAGATTTTTCCTGACTTAGGCCTTGGCAACCTGGACGCATATCAGTGACCTTCAGTCAAACTAAAATGCGCTGCCCCCCCCCCCCCCCATTCTAAATTTGGCACAGGACAGCCAGGAAACCTTAGCCATCTAGATTCTAGGGGATAAATCACATTGTTTTGATGAATCTCCAATGTTAGTCCAATGCTAATAATGCAGGAATTAAAAAAAGTCATTCAGTGAGGAAATTTTTATGTTCTTAAAAAATTTTATGCTGGTAGAGAAAATATATCATAATTTTCACCAAATCAGGGATTGGTTCAAAACACATTTTCAGTGCGTTTGGGCAAAAAAAAAATCCTGACTTTGCCGAAGAGTCGACCATCTCTCATTGAACATAACGCTCAGTTTTCCTCGACGCTCAGTTGGTATTTTGGCGCTCACTCGACCCTGCACCCTCCTAATAAGAGGAAGAGGAAATGTTTCCGTCCTCATTCCTCCCTGCAAGGGGTTCGCATTCGGGAAACCCGGTTTCACTCGAACGTTTCGGGTCAAGTAGCGTAAACGATGGGCTGCGAGATAACACGATCGACACGATGTCGCATCAGCGTCTGCTTTTTCATCTCGGAATGATCCGGGCAACGCAGTTCCTGTCCGCATTCGGAACAACGCCCTTGGGACGCCTTGGAAATGACCCGTGCAAACTTCTGCCATTCATCTGAATCGTCGGAAGCTGGGATGTCTGAGGCAAACTTTCGATTGAAAGAGAAACGTTGTGGCGGAGTCGAAGTTTGGACGTCTTTTCTCGTATATCGGAAGAAAACGGATGCTATACGATGGAATGCGAATTTATTGCCCTTTCTCCCAATTTTGAAAGAAGCTTCATGTCTGAAATAGGCGATTCTCGTACTTCAAGCAATCGCAAGAGATAATGGCAATCTTGTGTCTCTGGTTATCATTTCAAGAGGAACAGGGATCGAAGGTTTTAATAGAATTTGTTATTTTTGTTAAGGAATCGAAAACGGCACGTTGAAGGCTAGGAATTTCATCAATCAAATGGTGAAGATAAGCAAATTTGATGGCTATACAATTTAAAGAACTCTACTATTTCAAAAAAGAATTACGTAATGTACCTTCAAATCTATAATCCGGCATTTTAGAAAATTCTTCAAGGAAGCTAAATGAAAACTCTTATAAATAATGAAGCACTCATTCTTCATTGAAAATGAATTTTTAGAAAATTCTTCAAGGAAACTAAATGAAAACTCTTATAAATAATAAAGCACTCATTCTTCATTGAAAAATGCGCTACATTTTTCATCTGAATACGTATGCATAAAAATTTTAGTTTCAAAAGAATTTCTTATTTACGTTTTATTGTGCAAAAGCACAGTTTCAACATCGTGACATATTTCAAAAAGGAAATTTTTCACTTGACTCGCGATTTAAAGTGTTATATACACGAGGGTATATCGGATAGGTCATTATTGCAGTGCAATACTTCAATTCATGAAAAATTCATTAAATTTATATTGGAAGTTCATCCCCAAACACAGCAACGGCGTTTTATTTCATTATCGAAGGTGGATCGCTCATGACTGAATGCTTATACCTGCTTCGTTTCCCATTGAACAGGACTTCCTCTGCTGAAAGTTTCCGACGGAAAACTCGATGAATATTTCAGCGAAAACGGGGAGGAAAGGGGAATTCCTCGGGATGCGGTTGGGTGTGTGAGTACCCCGTGAAAAATGCCCGCGAGGAATGCATATTTCAAAACGCGGGCAACAAAATTTGCGCTCGGCGTGTGACGTCTTGTCTGACGTCTCCGGAATCGACATCAAAGAAGCATTATACATCGTACGCACGCCATCTGTTTCGCCGAAATGATTTTAGCCTGGTTTTCCGGGTTGCATTATTCGAGAATTGATTAATTTTTCAACAGAAAACTCCCAATATTGGAACAAATCAATCTTCAAGCCCAAGGACAAGTCAATCGACGTGCAGGGCAAGGCTCCGCTCTGTATATGGAGAAGTCAGTTATTCTGCTTGAACCATTATTCCGTGATTTAGAGCTACTTCGAATGCCTGACTTGCAAAATGAATTATTTACAAAAAGGAGGAATAATTGTTCGCAAAATAACAAGGCACGGTTCAAACGTTTTTTTCAGTGCCTTACTTCGGAGTCAATTTCTTCCAGGTTTTTTACTCAGCGAACATTCTTTAGATCGCTGTGGTATTTACGATGAAACTCGATGCAAATATCGGTTCAATTTTGCTGACGAAATTCGTGCAAAGGAAACTTATTGATAACCAGCAATCAGTTTTTTAGAGAAATTGTCAAAGTTTGCATCAGAATATAAATTTTATTTTACTGAAGATTTGATCCTCGTGCAAAGTTAAAAACACAAGGGTTATATTTTAAGCCTTGAATTTAAGAAAGAAGGAGAACAAGTAAAACTCAAACATTTCAACTGAATTTATTTCAGCTGTGTTTTGTTGCTACTCTGGATTACTGCAGCTTCAACTTATCACTGTGGAAATTCAAGACCAGTGCAGCCATTGATGCTGCCACACATTTCCTAAGGTTAATTCACGACAATAAAGGAAATGGATATTTTTGTATCTGCTTTCCTTTTTCGCTGCATGTGCCAAGATTCCACATTAAAGGAAAGGATGGACCTCAGCTAATCTCGAATAAGTTTATCAAAATCCATATACTGTACAGCAGTATACAATAAGCTTAAAAACAAGCCTTTTAAAGAGAAATTCCAGAAGAACTTTAACTGAAGGAAAATCACCTACAAACATTGATGGTTGCCTAGAAAACAAAGCTGGGTTTTGAATTTTTACCTGTGTGGCGAATCGATGCCATGGCAACTTGCATGTTATGGTGCCATTTTGCAGCAGGGATGAGTCGTAGCTGTGGTGAGTTATGGCTGCGATGAGTTGTAACAGCGGTGAGTTGTAGCTGCAATGCATTTTTAAAAGAATGGTGAAGGAAATTTGGGCGAAACGAGTAGAGTCAACACAAAGTTGATGCATTTACAGCAACAGACCGTGGAATTCCTCTGTCTTTGGTTTTATTCGAATGCGAGTGTTTCCCTCTGAAAATGTTTTCGCCGTTGCTCTATCGTCTTGAAAGAAGGGAACTGTAGCTTAAAATGTTCTCAATCTGTGTAAAGTACTTCACATGCTATTTGGAAGCAGGGAAATCAGATTTTTTTCTCCTCTGGATAGAATCTATGAAAAAGAATAAGACAAAAAAGTAGGATCACGTATGTGGAAGCGACATGGAAGAATAATGCAGGCGAATCCGACGCTGACTTGCTCGGGACTTAGCAAACGCAGTTAGGGGCCGATTTTACATAATTTATTGACGAGCCCCAGTCACGGAACATGTCAAACAGCGTGCATGGTAGGAGGTGTGCACTAGGGATTGCTATAGTTGTTCCGAAATCTCTGGGTTCCCCGAGAACCTGGGTTTTTCAGGTTGCCTTACTTTGCTAAATATTTGAACAGCGCTTTGGAGGGAATCTCAGTTTCTCTTGCAGCCAAAACTTATTTTGCTTGTCTTCATTTAAGACACTATTTCCCCCAACCTTTTTGGATCCACAGACTGGAAAGTTTGCATTAATTGTTTTTTGCAGATGAGCAAATTTCCAAATTATTTTCTGTGCACCGAGTCCACTGACAAAGTTTCATAAAATTTTTGAGGCGCAAAAAGGTTTTGCTTGGAAGACTTTATGGCAGGTATTTAACAAGTTTCTGGTGTTTTGCAAAAATTATGTTAACCATTGTGCAGTGAAGTCTGGATATTTCTGTGAAATTTTGTGCCCATGAACACTGAAAATTTCAAACAAATCCTGATTTTTTACTAAGGCCTAAGATGGAAAAAGTCTGATATTCTTTTTCTAATCCTGCAGAAAACTTTGCATAAAAAACTCTCACTAGGAGGCATTTTTCCTGCATTCCTGATGGCATGGGATTATCATTGGAGGTTCATTAAAAAACAGAAAATTTGCCTCTTGGATTTCCCCAACTTTAGCCTGCAAGCATTTCAGGGACCTTCAGTCAAACTGAAATGCATTACACCCCAAAAAAATCCCAACTCCGCTGCAAAATGGAAAGGAACCCTATGCTGCTCAAAGGTTAAGAACCAATGATGCTTCTATATTGGGATGTCTTTAGAAAATTAAAAATTTGGCCTTGAGGAAAAATTTCTTGGAATGAAAAATAAAATTTATTCAGCAGCTAAAAATTTGTTTGAAGCAATATTAGGAGAAAAGCCAACTTTCTTGTTTCGCCAGATAGTTTATACTGCCATTGTCTTTTTGGAATTTCAGATAGAGATAACAGACTTCATTGCTACTTTTAAGAAATTTATTATGCTGAATGAATTTTTGAAAGTAAAAGAAAAAATCGCAAACTGCTGCTTTCGAAGCAATCATTGCATTTAGAATACAATATTTATGTCTTCTGCTTTCTGCATGAGAGTGTTTGTGTGCAATACTTTCCGATTCCGCAGTAGCGGCTGCCTCTTGAAATAATATGTAAAGTTTTATGCGTGGGCTATGTTTTCGTGAAAAATTTCGCACTGTACTTGTTCTGCCAAGTACCGTACTTTCATTCTTATTCGTCGATGGGATTCCTTGAAACTGTTTTCATTCTCGTGTATGCATGGAATCCTGTATCCAGTCATTCCAGTCATGGTCAGGTTCAAGCATCCATGCAAACATTACAAAGAGAACGTATGTCGTTCCCCAGAAGATTGCATTCGTCGCCTATGCAAATGTTTTGTAATTCGATTTCAGCCGTCCCGAAAACCCGGTTCTGCCCGGGAAACCTTGGAAGAAGTTTAAAAGTCAGCCTAAATTTGATACTGAAAATAAAGTCTTATTGTTCATAGAAGACTTCTCGTGGGTTTTCCTGATTTTGCCGTCACCAAAAAATCACAGTCATGATGACGGGACACACACGGAATTTTCATTTGATTCCGCACGCGAAAGCAATTTTGAAATTAAGGTATCTTCGGAACTCAGAGCCTGCAGGTTCTTTATTGCGAGTTGTGTGTAGAATGAAGTTTGCTCATGAATTTGCATGTCGTTCCGGGTTTTCGCCAGGACCGAGTGACCTACTATGCAAATAACTTCTCAACTCAAGGCGTTTCTCCGAATATTCTGAATTTTTTCCTGTTCTTTTGCATTTGATTGTCTGCGAGTCCGTTTAGTTTCAATGACCTTCATATACCAATTCTCTTACTCAGAAATCGTTGATGACTGATCTAGACAGGAAATAAAAGTTCATTAAATTAAACCGCCAGTTTAGCATGCATTTGAATGCTCCAAGTATAATTTTCAAGTCATATTTGTCGTCGAAACATTCGTTGATGAAAAAATGATTTTTTTTGCTTATATATGCAAGATTTGATCCGGGAATCGTAAAGAGAGCTAGTTTTTAAAGATTCAACTTACAGAAATACGAAGATGAATTTAGAACTATCCTCTGATTTATATACTGTACTACTTATAATAAAAAAAGAAAAGGCTCTAACGAATTGGGAATTGAAATTGAATAATTCAGGATCGTTCGGTAAGGCTATTTATTACTTACAAGAGCCAGTAAGAAAATCTGATTTTTTCGAAAATTACTCACATCTCATA